TATGTATGTATGTATGTATGTATGTATGTATGTATGTATGTATGTAGGCCTATCTATCTATATATATATATAAGATGCGTGCGCGTGTGCGTGTGCGTGTGTGCGTGCGCGTATGTGTGAAATAACCGTTAAATATCTTACCATAATAAAAGTATAATCATAAAATCATTAGCCATTAGGTTATCGTGGCACAACATTTCAGAGTAAGACGTATAGAGACGTATAAATTTATTTCTTATTTGTATATATTCACCATATGTTTCTGGTATATTGCACTGGAGAGACTTCTCGTCGCTTTTTCTTACTAATAAATAATCCAAGATTAATTTTTATAAGCTGTTAGCATATTAGCAGACGCTCGCAAGTCATTTTAGGGAATCATATATTAACATCGTGTGTTTAGTACGTCGTTATATGTCGACAATATTAATTAGTACTATTAATTAGTACTGCGCGTAATTTAACTGTCACATTATTCGCAATTATACACGTCTCGTTATTGAGGCTTTTAATTACGAATAAGTGAGATTTATGACGGTGTAACTCCGGGGAATGTTACGGGAGCACACGGAGGCGATGGTCACACAACACGCGTGGCTACGATGTCACCACGCTGCCCGTTAAATTCGCATCTAAAATGCATTTTTTTCTACGCGATGCAATATAGGTATCTGAGAGCAGGTTAAAATGGCTCTAAAACGGCCAATAAAAAAATCGGCGGGTGGGTTTACAGCTGGTGAGTGATAGCGATAATAAACCGTGGCAAATTGGCGGCAGTCACGCACGGACCACGCTTAAAGAGACAAGGTCCCACACTCCTTCACGGGGGGTCCACGAATACAACTTGTATTTCCTCGCTTCTCTGGGATGCATGCGTGCATCCCCATCACATCCAGGTGCCCGCGTTCGAACGCCTTTTACCCAGAAATATAGAGGTCAAAGAGTAGAGTGATAATTTTTGTCAATTTTCTTTCGTCACGGCTGATATTTGTTTGTGGTTTTTTTCTCATTTATGATAGCACCCATCTGCACGTTTATCGAAATATCGATATATTGCCAATGATGATCAATTAGATGTAATTTCCAGACAAAAAATACGATTATAATTAATATAGATACCAGGAGATACACTAAACCCGTTACATTTGAAATATTTGACATAGCTTACACATACGGAAGTATCGGTTAGCATAGTTTATAGTCGAAAAGATATATATATATATATATATATATATATATATATATATATATATATATATATATATAGAGAGAGAGAGAGAGAGAGAGAGAGAGAGAGAGAGAGA